CGGCTGGGGGAGGGGTAAGAGCGAGGCGGGCTTACTTGCCTGCTGGGTCCTAGAGCCCGGCACTAACTCTAGCGAGCAACCCCCCAGCCCCCATTTTCTTAAGATCCAGAGGGGATCCCCCACTTTTCCACCCATCTGCGCCATTGGTCTCTAATGCTATGAGGAGGGGATAGGGGCAGGGACAGGGACTGGTCTCAAGGTTCTAAAGAGGCGGTGGTCTACGCTGTGGCTTCGAAATAGGTAGGGCTGAGTGCCTGGCAGGGTTCGATAAGGGGTGGGGCGAGAGGGGAGCCTTCACGTGTGGGTGGGGTTGGAGGGCCTGGGTATAACGAGGTTTGGATGCTGAAGGCTAGGACTAGTGCGTGCGTCACGGAAGGGGCGGGCCCACGGTGGATGGGCCTTCTCGGCGCGCCGGGGCATGGAGAGGGTCTTGGGAAACCATGTTGCTGGGTCTTAAAAAGGCGGAGCTTAGAGGTAAATTGCCTCAGGGGCGGGGCAGATGAGAGGTCCAAAGGGGAGGAGCGACGCCTGGGTGTTCGCGTGGGCGGGGCCTCGGGAGGGAATAAGGAGGGGGCGGAGCATTCTAAAGGGGAGGGGCTAAGGAGAACAACCCAAAGGGGTGGAGCTTAGAACCAGAAGGCCGGGGGGCGAGGAGGAAGACCTCGGAGTATTTCAAGGGGAGACCCAGGTTCGTAAGGGACCGGGCTCCCGCGGGCTCGCAGGGGGGCGGGGCCTCGAGCTCCAGGGGCGGGGCCTAGATCTCGGGGTCCGCCCTCGCTGTCTCGCCCACTTGCCTTCACCCGCACCCCCGTTCTTTTCGGTTATTTTCTGCTACGGCAGTTCCCTGCCCTGCCCCGGGCCCAGGGGGCCGCTGTCTGAACTCTGGTCGGCTGGAGGACTCGGTGAGTGGGCTCCTCTGGGCGGAGGCGGAGCCAGGGCGGAGCTTGGGGACAGGGGTGGAGCTTGAGTGTGGATGCCAGCTAGTAGATAGACCTGGCGCGGGAAGAGGTTTAGGGGTGAGGCCTGAGGATCTGCCGCTGTCTGGGAAGAGGGCGGGACCCAGGTGATCTAGAGAGAGGCGAGGAGTCAGAGAGTTAGAGGAGAGGACTGAGGGATCAGCATGACCAGCCAAGGGGACAGGCATGGAACCTTAGTACATAATGGGGCAGGTACTGAAGTGTCTGAACAGCAGCTGTGTTGGGGACATGGGAAAGAAGGCGTGAGTGTCGAGGGTCAAGGAATAGGAGTGCTACCTAAGGACTTGGGCCTGATCGGATCGTGGAGAACAGGGGCGGGGCCGGTGCGGACGCATTAGATCAAGTACAGCCAGCCTCATAGGGTCCCCACGGCCCTGGCAGGCTGACTGGCGTCAGTTTTTCTGATCAGTCTCCCAGCTCCGTCAGAAATGGGGAACGTGCAGTCGGAGCCATCCGCGGGTGGGGGCTCCCGAAAAGAGCAGGCCTCGGACCGCGCCCCCGACTCCCGCCGGACGTCCCTGGTGGAGCCCGAGATGACCTCCCAGGCCATGCGCCTGACTCGCGGGCTGGGTGTCTGGTTCCCTGGCAGCTCCGCACCCCCGGGACTCCTGGTACCCCGGGAGCCCCAGGCCTCACCCTCGACCCTGCCCCTCACCTTAGAACGGCCCTCTCCAGTGATGTCCCCTCCTGAAGAGGCGGCCGCGGTCTCTGCACCACCCCCAGCCCCCGCGGGGACCCTGCTGCCCGGCCCGTCTAAATGGCAAAAGCCCGCGGGCACTCCAGTGCCCCGGATCCGCGGCCTGCTGGAGGCGAGCCATCGCGGCCAGGGCGACCCTCCGAGCCTCCGCCCGCTGCCGACGCCGCCGCCGCCGCCGCCGCCGCCGCCCCCGACCCCGCCCCGGCAACTATCCGTAAAGGACACTGTCCCGAGGGCCCCATCCCAATTTCCGTCGCCCCTGGAGCCTTGGAAGCCGCCACCACCATTACCTTCTGAACGGCAGCCGGCGGACCGCAGAATCACTCCTGCTCTGGCCACACCCGCCTCAACCCTCACAGAAAGCCAGGCTGGGCCGGGCAACCAGGGCCAGACGGCCGGTAGGGCTCGCGGAGGGGCGCCTCCTCAGGCGGGCGAAGGCGAAATGGCCCAGCCTGTGGCTTCCGAGTCCGGCCTGAGCCTGCTGTGTAAAATCACCTTCAAGTCGGGGCCCTCTTTGGCCCCTCCGGCAGCTTCGAGTTCCTTAGCAGCCAAAGCTTCGCTCGGGGGCGGCGGAGGCGGCGGCCTCTTTGCTGCCTCGGGTCCCATCTCTTACGCCGAGGTCCTGAAGCAGGGGCCCCTGCCTCCTGGATCCGCTCGCCCCCTGGGAGAGGTTCCTCGAGGGGCACAGGAAGCTGAGGGAGGTGATGGAGACGGCGAAGGGTGCTCTGGTCCTCCCTCGGCGCCTGCGTCCCAAGCCCAGGCCCTACCGCCGCCACCCTACACCACCTTCCCAGGCTCAAAGCCCAAATTCGACTGGGTTAGCGCTCCCGACGGCCCTGAACGCCACTTCCGCTTCAACGGGGCTGGCGGAGGCATCGGGGCGTCGCGACGGCGTGCGGCCGCACTCTCTGGGCCTT